GCACTCAACTGCCTGCAGAGAGAAGATCCCAGCCTGAAAGTCAAAGTGGACCCTGATTCTGGCCAGGTAAGGCCATCTTTGGATTAGCCAGGTTTTGTCGGAGGCTCTGCCAGTAAGGAGTCAGCTAAGTCCCTCGGTCTTCATCCCCAGACCATTCTGTGTGGGATGGGGGAGCTGCACATTGAAATAATCCACGATCGGATCAGAAGGGAGCACGGCATCGAGACCCACCTGGGACCGCTGCAGGTGGCCTACAGAGAGACGATCCTGAGGGAGGCCTCAACGACAGGTACACGCAAGGAGAGGGGGGGGAAACCAAACTTTTCATTGGTGCAGTGTGGGTATAATTGTTCTTCGCCTATCCTTCACAAGCTCCTTTGTATTATTATAGACACATTGGATAGGACAATAGGGGATAGAAGGCATGTTGTGACAGTTCAGCTGACGGTCAGTCCTGTGGACAACGTATCCTGTGAACTAGCATTCGATAAAGAATTAGATGAGCTGCTGTCACCGGAAATAAAAGAGGCGCTGGAGAACGGAGTAAACAGCTCATATCTTCAAGGTAGTACCGACACAACTCTTTCTTATTATCGTGCTCAGGATGTTAAGAGTTTTTAAAGTGTAAAAAGTTTAAATCACGTTCTTAAAAGAGATGGATGTTAAATTTGGTTATTTTCTGTGGAGTTCTATTTTGCATTTTCTTATTTCACTGCCGTTTTTCCCATTTTTTTCTTCATTCATTTGTCCAGATTGCCCCCTTTCCTCCTGTTAGCTCCATTTGATTAACGCCATCACGTCAGACATTAGAAGCCTTAAATTCTAATAGTCTGAAATAGTTCAATTTACAATCCACCTGACAAACTGATTATAAAGTGTTTTCATAAATGTTACTATTTATTCAAAACCTCTCTTCTGTTTTTTTCCCTCATTCAGGTCCTCTGCTTGGTTACCCGGTACAGAGTACAGCCACACTGATCCAGAGGGTTGCCATGGAGCCAGGGACATCTCCCGCCATGGTGTCTGCCTGTGTGTCCCGCTGCGTGACAAAGGTGAAATATCATCCGTTCTAAGGTTAAACTCTACACTACAGTGTTAGCAGAAAGGCCAGAGTTGTGCTTCTTTGCATGCAGGCCCTGAGGCTCGCAGGAGGGCAGATCCTGGAGCCCGTGATGTCCCTGGAGGTGACTCTCGGCGAGGAGCACGTCAGCTCCGTGCTGGGCGACTTGGCCCAGAGGCGAGGAACAGTTAGAGACATCCAGAGTCGCCATGACAGCAAAGTGCTTCTGGCAACTGTGCCCCTGGCAGAGATGATGGTGAGATAACACTCGCTGATAAAAGTTGAGTTCAATGTTCCACGCCCAAAAGTGATTTCCTTCCTTCATTTCTTGTCGTACAAAAGGGTTATTCGACGGTCCTGCGAACGGTCACATCAGGAAACGCCACTTTCTCTCTGGAGCTGGATGCCTATGAAGCCATGAACCCTCAGGACCAGCACACGCTTCTGAAACGAATGACTGGTCTGATGTGATTCCCATGGGAGAAGGGCTTTAGAAACTCTTAAAAGACTCACTGTCAATATTAGACCACTATTATGTCATGGACGAAGAAAGCAAAACTGTATTTGTGAGGAATCAGCTGCTAGATAAAGAAGATAAATACTGTACCATAAACTGAAGATGATGCTAAATAAATGTGCAGCCAGTTACTTTAACCTAATGTTTTCTTCTTTTTTTTTTTTCAAATGAACAGAAGCTGTATGTCAACATTTTTATTGACAATTAAAGAAATGGTCATACAAAAAAGGTGCCGTTGCAAAAATTAAAAGATTTGACATGAAATAAAATCAAGTATCAGCAGCAAGGTATCTGATTTTCTTAGTTTCAAACCCAAAATTGGAGTAGACAGTATGTGGAATTGCTTCCCTTTAGTTCCAAGGCCAGCCTTTCAGCACTTTTCAGATCCCTCTGTACTCGCGGGGACAGAAACCGGAGAACAGCGGCTCGGCTGGTATCCCCCGCCTAATGAAGGTCAAAGCATGCAGTCACACACCGTTTGACAACACTCACAAACAGGAATATCGTGTTGGGAAACTCAATACTTACTCTACCATACGACAGCGGTGCACCGACAGTCTGCTGAACGCGTCGTCGATGTCCGTCACGTCTTTGGCGCTCCACAGGCGCTCTGCCACAGCACTGGCCCGGGGCCTTCAAAAGAGGGGAAACCAGCCAGTTAGGAAACAAGTTTTTCAGTAAATTCGATTTTTATGTAATGACCGACGGCAGTCTTACCAGAGTCTGGGCGTCAGGTTAGTAGCATCTACATACTCTCCCCACAAACAAGCCTCTCCACCAATCACCAGCTTCTTCTGCTCCTCAGTTCCTGTTTTCAAAATGGAGCGTGTGAAAGTTCAGCTGTGGCAGGAGAGGAGCCATAAATGGAGTTAAACATTTAACTGAATTATCTGACATGCGAAATGCATTTCATCTCTTCATTCAACAGGCTTACACGTACTTGCACACGAGTGACAACTCCGTGACATGTCAGACAGAGCCAGGTGACGACAAAATGGCAAGAATCCAACAGTTCTGGTCAGAGCTGCCAACCAAGAATTCAGTACATGCAACTGAATAGTTTCTCTGTTTTCATCTGTTACGTTAGAGCCGAGATCTCACCAAAATGAGTAGTAAGTACTCATTGTGTGCCACTTCAACAGAATCCGTCTTTCCCCTTTCAACCACTTTTTTGTGCCATTATGAGATTCAGAGAGTTATTCTGCTGAAATAACAAGAATTTAGAGACACTTTTGTGATTGTAGATAAGATGTTGGACCTCTAAAATGCCTTCTTAATCTTATGAATTGCTCAGTCATAAGATGGTTTTAGTGCCCCATAAAATTGATAAGGTATCTTTACATTTTCAAAACATCTTGATTATGACATGGAAATGCCCCCTAAAGTGTAACTGCCCTTGCTTGACCTTTTGACCAGGACTGTTTAAGAGTATAAGCAAATAAAAAATGAAAGGCACAGGAGGAAAATAAATTAAGAGCAGAAGAAGGATTCGAGCAAACAGACACAAACCCTTAAAATCTTGCGGGTCGGCCTTGTAAAAGCCCTGCCAGTCCTGACCATAGGAGATACGGTTGAGGTACCAGGGAGATGACAGCAGGGTCTGGTACCCTACAGATGTAACATTTGCCATCTCGTTCTGGTATTGCTGCTGGTTTCCCTTCCAAACGTGGATAAGTGTGTCTGCCTTCAGCTGCATAGCGCACATTTTCCATGATTTCAGAGAAGATAGACAGAAAAAGAAAGAGGGGGGGCACAGGTGGAAATATTAATCTTCCATCTGATGCATTAATATCGCGGGCTTGTGCTTGAATTTCATTCACATAGGGACATTTTCAAGTGTCTGACATGTGACATTGGTCACCCAAGATTTGGGCATTTGGTCCAAATAGCTCGGGAACGGTTTACTATCGAGAGGAAACGCAATGACCGATTTCAGGATCAACTGAAACCACCAACCACACTGCCCCACGGGCGTCACTCTGACCCGCTGTGTCACGTCTGTGCAGTTTTAAGTGTAAGCCCACTGAAGGAAGATGGGACAAAAGTCAGATTTTCACTCCACCAGATTAATTGATTCAAGACGAGACACTTTTATTGTGAAATAACTGACCGTCGAAGTTGAGGGGCTCGACCTTGTAGTACTTCTGCCAGTCCTGTCCGTAGTTAATATAATCTAGATACCACGGGGCTGAGAGGATGGTGGTGTATCCCGCTGCCGTCACCTTGCTCATCTCGTTATTAATGCCGCTCCCGATCCACACATGCACTACCGTGTCGGGCTTTAGCTGCAATTGTCACAAGTCAAGCTCCCGTTCGCAGTTCAAATACTACAACAGACACTGGTTGATGAAAGCTGTATTTATATCACTGCTTTTTCTTCTAGTCTGCATGTAAATTGTCTCAAAATGAAGCAGAGACCGTACGCTTTAAACTCACATTCAAATCTGAAACGTCAAATATGCTTCTTGTGAGCAACACATAAAGTTAATATAAATACCAAGATACTTCAGACCAAAATGGGCCTGAATTTGGCTCCTAATAATCTAATAGGTACACCTCTGAGCTCAATCTTTTAGTAAATAACTGATTGAAGCCTTTTAAAACACATTAAAGTAAGAACAAAAAGTGTGAAAAGAACATTGGTAATTTTTCAAAAACTACAATGCTGTCTTTTCATAGTTTGTGATTAAAGAGGTGGAGAAAGATCTTACAGTTATAATGTTTTGAGATGCTTTTCAAACACTCTATTACACTCCTTTAGCGCAAAAATTGCTTCAGATTTTGTGACATTTTATAATGGTTACGCATTTCAAATCTGGCTAAACATCAAAGCATTTTTAAATCCTACCTTTACGCCATTGTCAAAGACCTCCTGCCAAATAATGTAGCCCTTCTTGGTAGTGGTGACAATATCCAAGAGTCTAACAGAACAAAACAAGGGTGGGAAAATGTTGAAAAATTGTATAACTGCTTTTAAATAAAGAGTAGAACTCTATTATGAAACACACTTTTGAATGTAGAAGGATTCCAGTTTGCTGAAGTCCTTTCCAAAGCCTTGCTGATCCATGAACTTCTGAATGTCCGGGTTGGACTTCCTGTGGGAGGAAAGCAGCGGCTAACATCTGCCTGCTCCTCAGAATTTGACCCAAAGTGGTGGACACCATGCACACAGTCTCACCAGCACGTGAAATCCACTTCATCTCCTCCCAGGTGGACGTATCCGTCTGGGAACACACCGCTGATCTCTTTAAAGAACTGCGTCATGAAGTCATAGGTGGTGTTCAGCATTGGGTTCACAGGTCCGAAGGTGCCAGAGGGCTGAGCGCCAGAGTAGCAGGGCGTCAGCAGATCCGCCTGGCCTGAAGGGGGAGGGAGGGGGGGACCGACAGGAAGAACAATCAAAATATACCACAAATAAACAAAAAAAAAATCAAATGGAGGTGTTTGCTTGGACATGTGACGAACTCACCTTTACCCCAGGACTGTGTGTGTCCCGGAGTGTCGAACTCTGGGATGACCCGGATACCTCTCAAACGAGCAAACTCGATCACCATCTTCACATCAGCTGGTGTGTACACGTGGGTGTATGGGTGGTAGGCTCCCTGTGAACATTTTGTCGGATGAATACCAGATCACAAAACAAATGAGGATTTTTTATTTATTTTTTTTCCTGAGGCTGGCCTCAAATGTTTTCTTTCTGACCTGCTGGCTCAGCTGTGGGAACGTCCGACTCAAGTAAGGGAAGGACGGATCGTCCACGATGTGCCAGTGGAAGACGTTTAGTTTGTTCATCGCCATCGTTTCCTGCATGAACGAACCAGGCACACAGGAATATTTAGAAGCGGGTATGATTATAAAATGAGGGACTAAAACAAAGTCTTACACACCAGATTAGCCAAAATGACTTTAACGGGAAGGAAATGCCGCGAGGTGTCCAACAAGACGCCTCGGTGTGCGAATCTTGGGAAGTCACTGATTTTCGTTGAGTTCATGCTTTTCTGAAAAGTTA